GTGCGCCGCACGGTCCATAGCATGCCACCCCTGTGTCTGCGGTCTGGCATGCCGCACGGTCCATGGCCATGCCACCCCTGTGTCTGCGGTCTGGCACGCCGCACGGTCCATGGCCATGCCACCCCTGTGTCTGCGGTCTGGTGCACTGCATGGTCCATGGCCATGCCACCCCTGTGTCTGCAGTCTGGTGTGCCGCACGGTCCATAGCATGCCACCCCTGTGTCTGTGGTCTGGTGTGCCGCACGGTCCATGGCCATGCCACCCCTGTGTCTGCGGTCTGGCGTGCCGCACGGTCCATGGCCATGCCACCCCTGTGTCTGCGGTCTGGTGCACTGCACGGTCCATGGCCATGCCACCCCTGTGTCTGCGGTCTGGTGCACTGCACGGTCCATGGCCATGCCACCCCTGTGTCTGTGGTCTGGTGCACTGCACGGTCCATGGCCATGCCACCCCTGTGTCTGTGGTCTGGTGTGCCGCACGGTCCATGGCCATGCCACCCCTGTGTCTGCGGTCTGGTGCTCCACAGGACTGCCAGGAGGGTCACTCTCTTAGGACAGAGCCAGAGTCAGGATTAGTGGCCTCTGATGGCCTGTCCGGCTCAGCCAGCGTTGACACAGCTGAGGAACTCTCTCTGAGGTCTTTTCTTTGGTGCTGGGAGGCCCTGGGCCCCTTGCTGGTCATTCTGTGGTCTCTGGCCCAGAGTGTCCACTCTTGGGGCGTGTCTCGGAAGGAACAGTGCCACCGTCACACGAGTGTTAGCATTTCATCCTGAATGTGGGTGACACTCACCTTTCTCACGGTCACCCTAGCCTTCTTAGACACTGACTAACAGTCAGAACCTTGTCCCCAGACAGGGTCCGGCCCGCTGGTTCCCAGACCCTGTGGTGGGCAGCCGTGCCCCTCTCTGGCCTGTTTCCTGTGGGTGCAGTCTTTCAGGAGCCACTTGGGGCACCTGGAGGGGGTGTGGCAGCCCCCCAAGAGGCAAATCCGGCTCTGGGCCGCGGGCAGGGCTGAGGGGGACCCTCTCCTCCAGGTGATCCACAGGCTGGGCCTGGATTCGCTGGCGCCCTTCAACCCCAAGGAG